TTGTAGAGCGCCGACAGGTACTGGTTGAAGTCCGAGTTGGAGTGGATCTTCTTGGTGTAGACCAGGTACGCCTCACCTGACGAGATCTGCACAGGTGGGTCAGACAGACTCAACTCGCACATCAAGAGCAGGCGTGAGGAGTGCGAATGTGTGTGTGCAGTGAGCAGGAGTGTGAGTGTATATGTGCAGTGAGCAGGAGTGTGAGTGTGTGTGTAGTGAGCAGGAGTGAGGAGTGCGAGTGTGTTTGTGTGCGTGCAGTGAGCAGGAGTATGTGTGTGTGCATGCAGTGAGCAGGAGTGTGAGTGTGTGTGTGTGTGTGCAGTGAGCAGGAGTTAGGAATGCGAGTGTGTGTGTGCAGTGAGCAGGAGTGAGGAGTGCGTGTGTGCATGTAGAGCAGGAGTGAGGAGTGTGAGTGTGTGTGTGCAGTGAGCAGGAATGAGGAGTGCGAGTGTGTTTGTGTGCGTGCAGAGCAGGAGTGAAGAGTTTGAGTGTGAGTGTGTGTGTGCGTGTGCAGTGAGCAGGAGTGTGAGTGTGTGTGTGCGTGCAGTGAGCAGGAGTGCGAGTGTGTGTGTGCTGTGAGCAGGAGTGCGAGTGTGTGTGTGCAGTGAGCAGGAGTGTGAGTGTGTGCATATGTGTGCAGTGAGCAGGAGTGAGGAGTGTGTGTGTGTGTGCAGTGAGCAGGAGTGAGGAGTGTGAGTGTGTGTGTGCGTGCAGTGAGCAGGAGTGTGAGTGTGTGCATGTGTGTGCAGTGAGCAGGAGTGAGGAGTGTGAGTGTGTGTGTGCGTGTGCAGTGAGCAGGGGTGTGAGTGTGTGTGTGTGTGTGCAGTGAGCAGGGGTGTGAGTGTGTGTGTGCGTGTGCAGTGAGCAGGAGTGTGAGTGTGTGTGTGCGCGTGTGCGTGTGCAGTGAGCAGGAGTGTGAGTGTGCGTGCAGTGAGCAGGAGTGAGGAGTGCGAGTGTGTGTGTGTGTGCAGTGAGCAGGAGTGAGGAGTGCAAGTGTGTGTGTGTGCAGTGAGCAGGAGTGAGGAGTGCGAGTGTGTGTGTGCGTGTGCAGTGAGCAGGGGTGTGAGTGTGTGTGTGTGTGTGCAGTGAGCAGGAGTGCGAGTGTGTGTGTGTGTGCAGTGAGCAGGAGTGAGGAATGCGAGTGTGTGTGCAGTGAGCAGGAGTGAGGAGTGCGAGTGTGTGTGTGCAGTGTGCAGGAGTGAGGAGTGTGAGTGTGTGTGTGCGTGTGCAGTGAGCAGGAGTGTGAGTGTGTGTGTGCGTGCAGTGAGCAGGAGTGAGGAATGCGAGTGTGTGTGTGTGCAGTGAGCAGGAGTGAGGAGTGCGAGTGTGCGTGTGCAGTGAACAGGAGTGTGAGTGTGTGCGTGTGCAGTGAACAGGAGTGTGAGTGTGTGTGTGTGTGCAGTGAGCAGGAGTGAGGAGTGTGAGTGTGCGTGTGCAGTGAACAGGAGTGTGAGTGTGTGCGTGTGCAGTGAACAGGAGTGTGTGTGTGTGTGCAGTGAGCAGGAGTGAGGAGTGTGAGTGTGCAGTGAACAGGAGTGTGAGTGTGTGAGTGTGCAGTGAGCAGGCGTGAACAGTGTGTGCGCGAGCCTGGTGCACGTGGCACTCACGATGATGACGGTGCAGGAGATGGTGACTGCCGCCAGCAGGCCGTGTGTGATGGTGTCAGGCTTGAAGGGGTACTTGATGCTCTCATCGTCGCAGTAGATGCCGCGCTGGAAGGGCCTGAAGACGATGGTCATGATCACGAAGGGCAGAGAGGCTGCGGAGAGGGAGAGTACGTGGTCAGAGCTGCCGCCAGTGCCCAACCTCATACGATCAACTCTGCAGGACAATGATCTTGTCCTCTGTCCGCAGCGCTGCCCTCTCCTGCTGCTGCAACAACCCTGCAACTGCATCCTCACTGCCACCAGGCAGCTGAGGAGCAGATTCACTGGTTCAACCTTGGTGTTAATACAGCAACAGATTCACAGGATCCACCTAGATGTTAATACGGCCAATGTCACAAGTGCAGCTCATGCAATGGAAGAAACCTCTAGAGTTATCAGTCCTGCGGGAAGAGCAGAGGAGCAGCACGGACACAGCTGGGATACACAGAGACACATTCACACAGGAAAGCTTTCCGAAGACATGTGTCCTGTCGAAGGCCATCTTCACAAACCCTGAAGCTGCCTGCCGAAGGCCAAG